CCCTTCTAACCCCCCCAACCCCCCCTCTCCCTCTTCCTTTCTCTCCCACCGTCATCGCTGGCCGTCCTTCTCGGTGACTGTTATGTTATTACTTTTCTTGGTATTGCAGATCTGTGTGCTGAGCTGTCGGTTATCTGCAGTGCATCCTGCATTCAACAGAATTAAATTCCATCACTGACGTTTTGTTGTTCTTGATACTTTTTTTATTTCACCTATTTTTTTTTGGTGAATTATTCCTTGAGGTTTCTGTTACCATACCAAACCTTTCTTTCTCTTTTGTCTGCGTTGTCTGATCTCCCTCTCTCCTTTTACCCGTTACCACCACCACCAACAAGTCAGACAGAAACAGACACAGAGACAAGACAGGTCAGTCAACCTCAGTCACCGCCTAGTTAATGCTCTCTCTCCACGTGCTAACTACTGGTTGACGGTAGCCCGCGGCAGCTTCTTTCGCGCCCTCCCTTGCGTCTGTCCAAGTATTCTGGATCCCTCTCACATATCTGATTCCTCCGTCGCTGCTCCATCAGAATTCACAACCCCCCCCCCCCCTCCTCCTTCTCCCCGTTGGGGCTATCGATCTGACCGTGCAGCATTGCACCCACCCCTCCCCTCCCCGCCAGAAGTCCCCATTCGACACCTATCGTCGACAAAAGGTGATCGGTAGTGAAGAAGCACAGTGCGCACCGCCTCACTCAGTGGCTTCCCCTCTTCCTCCAATCAAACCTCAGTCTTGGTCGCTCAACCCTGCTGCCACCAGTCGCTCGAACTGTCACTCCACCTCTCCCTCCCCCCCCCTATACCGCACGTCATGAATCACGATAGTTTCTCTTCCCTAAAATTTCGACGGTCGTCAAGCAAGCTTCACAAAGACCCTCCAAGCTTCACGTCCCGCATCTTGAAGAGTCAGCAGAGCAACACCTCCCTCAAACGTCACCCCTCAGCCCCCGTCTACCCTCGTTCCGCTGCCGCTGCCGGAGGTCGAGAGCACACTCGGACGAGATCGAACGCATACGGATCATCCTCATCCTCCCTCGAGCAGAACAGCGGCAATCCTTCTCCAGCACACTCTGGCAACGAGTCGGGCTATTTTCCGACCAGCAATAATTCCTTCAAGTCCCGCCCTCCCCCCGCCGGCCGATTTTCTCTCAGTGAGCAGAGCTCAGATGAACTGATTGGCACCCCATTTGATAGTCGGGGCATGCTCAGCTCTTTGAAAGAGAATTCGACCGAGTCTGATCCCGTTTCCGAAAAGCCCCCGACCTTGCGGTCGGCCACAAGCCCTGAAACCCGAGGATTAAGACAGTCGGCTAGCCTGGCTACCTTACAGAGCCGAATGGAGACGTTTGTGCACAGGGCGACCGACAATGACCGTTCGGTAAATCCGAAGCGTCTCTCCGACGAGGGTAACACAACGACCAGGCCATTTGCGGGCAGAAGCAAGAAGAGCAGTTTTTCCAGCTTTGTCAACAGTATGCTCGGCTCCCCACGAGGCATCAAAATCTCCGCCCCGGAGAACCCCGTCCACGTCACTCATGTCGGCTACGATAACCAGACCGGCCAGTTTACTGGTCTCCCGAAAGAATGGCAACGATTATTACAGGAGAGCGGTATCTCTAAGAAGGAGCAGGAAGAGCACCCCCAGACCATGGTTGATATCATGAGATTCTATGAGAAGAATGCCCGGGGTGATGATGAGGTTTGGCACAAATTTGACCATGCATACCCGCAACACCAGTCAGCAGCCAGTCCGGCCTCCGGCACGGGTTCCTATGGTCCTGGCGCGCAGCGAGTCTCACCCCCAACAAGTCCTCGATTCCCTCAGAACCATGAAGGCAGCTTCGAAAACCCCCGGGCGCCACCTCCAATTCCTCGCGGTGCTCCTGCAGCAGGCCAAGCCATGTCACCATCGGTGGGTGGATTCGTTCCCAACCGGGCCCCGCCAAAGCCCCCAAGCGCAGGCACGATCACCCCAGCTCGCCCCGCTCCTCAACCTCCTTCCGCAGCTACCTACGCTGCAGCACCGGTCCGCGCAGCTCAGGATGCTTATGCTCAGGCCTATGCAACACCCCCAATTCCGGAGACAGAGCCTTTACCCAAGGAACAACACCCGCTCAGCAGATCCAACTCCAAGGCAAATGGTACGCCCGTGCCCTGGACAACGCCATCTCCGGCTCAGTATCAGCAACAACAGGAGCAAGCCATGGCTGCAGCCCAGCAGGCGATTGTCAGCAAACAGCTTGAGCGGAGCCGCAGTCAGCGTCAGCAGCAGGCCGCTCAGAAGCAAGCATCGCAGCAAGCACCTCCTCAGCACATTACTCCCGTGGAAGAGACATCTGCTTCGATGCAGCAGGCACGTGCTGCTCCGGCTGCCGCTGCCGCTGCCGCTGCCGTCGGCGCCGCCCCCGCTGCTCGTCCGCGGCAACGGGCCCGCCAGAGTAACATCATGGACGTTAGACAACGACTACTCGCGATTTGCACTCCCGGCGACCCGACTAAACTTTACCACCACCTCAACAAGATTGGCCAGGGAGCATCGGGCGGCGTTTTCACTGCGTATGAAAATAACTCCAATAGCTGTGTCGCTATCAAGCAGATGAATCTGGACTTGCAGCCCAAGAAAGATCTTATCATCAACGAAATCTTGGTCATGAAGGACAGCAAACACAAGAACATCGTCAACTTCCTGGACAGTTATCTTCACGGTCTGGACCTATGGGTGGTGATGGAATATATGGAAGGTGGCAGCTTGACAGATGTGGTCACGTTCAACATCATGAGTGAAGGGCAGATTGCTGCCGTGTGCAGAGAGGTAAGCTACAACGTCTGTTGCTAGTCGTCGTTTCAAAGGCTGACATCTGTAAGACTCTGAGTGGTCTGCAGCATCTTCACTCCAAAGGTGTCATCCACCGTGATATCAAGTCGGACAACATTCTGCTATCTTTGGATGGCAACATCAAATTGAGTAAGTTGTTTCTTCCATGTTTGGTGTTTACCGGACGATCTGTCTAACTTTGCTTCTAGCCGATTTCGGTTTCTGTGCCCAGATCAACGACTCGCACAACAAGCGAAACACTATGGTGGGCACGCCGTATTGGATGGCACCAGAAGTCGTTACCCGAAAGGAGTATGGCCGCAAGGTCGATATCTGGAGTCTCGGAATCATGGCAATTGAGATGATTGAGGGCGAGCCCCCTTATTTGACCGAGTCGCCTCTGCGAGCGCTGTACTTGATCGCAACCAACGGAACGCCCACGATCAAGGACGAACACAACCTGTCTCCTGTTTTCCGGGACTTCCTGCACCTTGCACTCAAGGTGGACCCCGAGAAGAGAGCGTCTGCTCATGACCTGCTCAAAGTATGTCGAATGTTTTTTCTCTGGCTGTTTGAGCCCTTGCTAATTGAGTGCCAGCATCCGTTCATGTCCCTCTGCGCCCCTCTGTCACATCTGTCGCCGCTGGTGAAGGCCGCGCGAGCCAACCGAGCGCAAGAAAAGGCTCAAAAGGGGGGTGCCTAGGTACCGTGACTTTTCACTGTTACTATATACGTCGATATCTTCTGTCTTCTCTCTCTCAGATACCCATGACTCCCGATGTTTTCATATTTGCTGGACATCTTATGCTGGCATCGCATAATGACCAACGTCTTGTTCATCCTTCTCTGTTTCTTCCTGCGGATCTCCCTTGATTTTCTAGACGGCGATGGATTCTTCTTGTGATGACCTTTCTTTCATCCTACCTTTTGTTGCGGTGCTTGTGAAGCTGGAGGTCTGGGCCCTTCGCCCATCAAACACATGCACATGTACCTCGACGGCATGGCTGGTCTTCCCAGGTCAGCCAGTGGAAAGGTGGAAAAATTGTTTGTAAATTTCTCTACTTCCGGCATTTGTCCTTGTGCGAAATTCATACTAGTGAACCTACCGGGTTGCTTCCTCAACTACGGTTCGAGTCGAATATGTCGTTGTGCCACATTCCAAGTGACAAGTCTGCACTTGCATCTACTAGCAGCGTCTTCCCGTTTCAATATCGATGCGATGGTGCCCTCGGGGTTTTCTTGCTTTCGCGCAGGCCGGTGATGATTTATGAGGCATTTTCTGGCATCCATTCTTCATGACAAAAGAACAAAAGCATGAACTTGATTCGATTTGTTTGATCTGCTTTGTGATTCTGTTCAAATAGCGACAGTCCCTACTGCTGCATCGGCTGGCTTCCAAGCCATATTACCCTCGGAAACCCGAGATAACTTTGCTACGGCTCCTTTTGTACCGTTCTACGTGGGGTGAATAATAATGGATTCTGTTCATGGAGTTCAGTGCCATATGTGGACTGAGGTGTTCGTTCAGTCTGGATCTTCTTTGTAGTACTATTTCGTACTTGGTACTAGTAGTAGCATAACTTATCATGGATATCGTCATCGGGAGCTCAGGGCAGTACCAGGACCGCACTAGACCCGATTAGGCGACAGCTCTCCGCCCTGGGGCGGCGCGATCCCTCCGTCGTCACCTGCTGAGCATTCATCAGGTTGCAGCCTTCGTGCTTCCAGTTCTCACTTTGTCCCCCCCCCCCCCGTTCTTGTCTTGCTCACCTTACTGGGGTGTTCATAATTTCTTACAGTGCTCATATTTGCAGTGTGGGTACATACATCTACTACACCTCCTGACTCCAACCACTGCTACCGCTTTATCCTCACCCCCTAATTCATACCTACTACGTATTTACAACACTTCCGCAACTGCATCATCGAGGCTGTACCTCCCCGCAATTGGGTATTCGGACTCCAGTAAACGAGCAAAGCCACTCGCTCCACCGAAACCACGAGTCATTGCCTTGACACTACTTCCACCACCACTACTGCTTCATTCACTTCATCTCGTTTCCTAGTGGCGCAAGCGCTGCCTTCATACCCTTCCACTCGCTACTCGAACGGCGCATTTCCGCCACCTCTCCTACCTCTCTCCGATCGCCTCACCGTGGTGCTCTGAGGCACAACACTCGAAATGTTCCGCGCGCAGCAGAACGCTTTCGACGACGCAGTCGGTCAGTAACAGCCTGTCCGAGTCACTCTCACTTTGCCTTTCATTACACCCACCTACCTCGCTTAAGCCCTCTCTGATCGATGTCGCTGACGTATACAACTTCCCGCAATAGCCAAGGCGACCGACGAGAACCTGACCGCCGAAAACTGGGAGTATATTCTGGTACGCTTTTCTCCGGCAACATGCTGGATTATTTTGTCTCCGGGGAGGCCTTCTGACAATCTGGCGCATAGGATGTTTGTGACAAGGTCGCTGCGGAGGAGTCTGGGTATGGTTCCGCTTTTTTTCCCTTCTAGTTGTGTTCTCGAAGAGGGATTGGGGCTGACGAGTGGGTTGGGGGTGACTGTTTAGTGCGAAGGATGCCGTGGCCGCTTTGATCAAGAGGCTTGCGCATAGAAATGCCAATGTGCAGTTATATACTTTGGAGGTTCGCGGTCCTTGACACGGTTGATTCTGCTGAGTGGTGGGAGGGCTTGATCGGTCGAGCCATACAATGCTGACGCTTGTATTGCTCGAACTTTTTTAGTTGGCCAACGCTTTGGCGCAGAACTGTGGGCCGAAGATTCACCGTGAACTTGCGTCGAGAAGTTTCACAGATGCCCTGCTGCGGCTAGCGGGCGATCGGGTGAGTAACATCGCAGTTTTGCTGTGTATCGCTGGAAAAGTTACTGATGAGTTTGGCGCGCCCGACAGAACACACATCAACAGGTCAAAGCGAAGATCCTGGAGCGCATGCATGAATGGACGGAGATGTTTGCTAGTAACCCCGATTTCGGGATCATGGAGCAGGCGTACATGAAGTTGAAGACGCAGAGTAAGTCAGGGGAAACTAGTCGGGATGACGTGGAGGCTTACATGGGCTTTGGCTCTAGATCCGAACTTGCAACCTCCTTCGAAACCAGGCAAGAGAGAGATCACCGAGGCAGATCGCCAGAAGGAAGAAGAGGAGTTACAGATGGCCCTTGCGCTCTCGATCAGGGAGAAGCCCTCCGCGGCTCCTCAGACCCAGCCGCAAGCCAGCAGCTCCAGTGCCGCAGCCCCCGTCAGTGAGTCTCCGGTGGCTGCACCAGCCCAGCCTGTTCCCTCCGGGACCTCCGCGGCCACGGTGTCGCGGGTGCGGGCACTATTTGATTTCCAGCCCTCCGAGCCCGGTGAACTGCAGTTCCGCAAGGGAGATGTTATCGCTGTTCTGGAATCGGTCTACAAGGATTGGTGGAAGGGTTCCCTGAGGGGCCAGACGGGAATTTTCCCTCTCAACTATGTCGAGAAGCTGCCCGACCCTACGATTGAGGAGTTGCAGCGCGAAGCTCAGATGGAGGGGGAAGTCTTCGGGCAGATCAAGAATGTCGAGAAGCTTCTCACACTTCTGAGTACTCGCAGTTCCGAGCTCAATGTGCAGGACAATGAGGAAATCACGACTCTGTACCACTCGACCTTGGCAATCCGGCCGAAGTTGATCGAGCTCATTGGCAAATACTCCCAGAAGAAGGGTAGGTGTTCTTGCCCCCCGTGTTTGGCATTTGCACTTGCTCATTGGACTGTAGATGAGTTTACGCAGCTCAATGAGAAATTCATCAAAGCCCGCCGCGACTACGAGTCGCTCTTGGAGGCGTCGATGTCCCACCCTGCACAACCCCAGTATGGACGGCAGGCTCAAGCTCCTTACGGATATCCGGCTCCGGTAGGATATCCGCAAGCCCCGCCCCAGGCTGACCCTCAGCGATACTTCAGCCCTCGTCCTTCAGGTTCGCCTAATACTTCTCCCATCGGGTATTTCCGCCATCTAACATGAGAACAGAAGCCCAACCTGCGCAGTCCACTCCTACCCCTTACTATGGAGGAGAACAAGCTCACGCGTACCCTCCCACTTCACAATCCCCTGATTCGCGTGTCACACCTCCCGCGGGCGCCCCGTATCAGCAACAGCAGCGCCAGTCCTCGAATGAGTTCTACCAGCCCACACACCACCGCCCCGAGTCGACATATGACAATCCCCAAGAATTGGGCACTTCTGTCTACGACTCTCCTGTCGAACATCGCCCTCAGTACTCCGGACAAGTCCTACCGCCATCTTCTGCGCAGCCACCTTTCCCGGCTCAGCAACAGCAACAACAACAACAGCAGCCGGAATTCCCACCATCTTCTTACCCTCCTGAAGACGTCAACCGACCTCCAGCCGGAGCCAGCGCCCCCCACCACCAAGCACAGCCCCCCTATCCCACCCATCAACCAGCTCCGATGCACCAGCCTCCTCCAGTGCCAGGCACAGCATCCACGCCCACACCCTACCCTTCTCTGACCCCCGGCGGAGGCTCTTACCAGGCATACAGCCCCTCGCAAACCGATGTGTCCAACCCTGCTTCGTACTACCGGTAAAGCATGTTTGATATTGAGTTGACGGACTGCTGTGGTATGGGAGGTTTTCTCCTCCTGGTGTTCCTTGCTTGTTGATCAGGCTCGAGATCGGGTAATGGAGAGGCGGTTTGGAACTGTTCCAGTAGTATGAGCTTTAGCAAGAAGATGTTTGAGCTTTTCCAGTTTCATACCACTTTGTGTTCCATAGCGTTTGTTTTCTGTTGTTGCAAATGATTTTTCGTTTGGTTTTGATGATCGTGGCTGTTTGTATGGAAGAATGACCCAACATGTCACGTAGCATGTAGAGGGTGGAATTCTGGTCATCGCTCTACATCTCAGTATGGATTATTAGTGACCTAGATCTTAGGTAGTCTATCCGATCAGGTCAATCAGGCTGCAGCTCAGGAGTGGCCCAATCAAGCCCAGACGCGCGACACTGCATCGATCCAGAAGTGCACTACAGCTAACCACTTAAGGCTCAGTGCTTACGCGCTTGAACGTGGAAGAGAAGCTACCTAACCTTTGGAGCCTTCTTAATTTCACCACCTTAACGGCCTCAACAATCATCATGGTCAAGAAAGCTGAGTTACGGCGGAGTTGCACCTTCTGTCGCGCCCGCAAGATCGCCTGTTCTGGCGAGCGCATTTGCACGGCATGTCGCGATCGGTCTATTGAATGTATTTATGGCCTGGAGGGGGCCAAGGGTCGTCCTCGCCTGGTTAAAACCTCGCCAGGTATACCTCCTGCTGCTACTGCTGCTTCTCCTGCTCCTACTACGGCTGCGGCTGCTGCTGCTGCTGCTGTTACCACCACTACCACCAGCCTGGCAGCAGAACTGGATATTATGTTTCGCGAGAACTTCAGTGATGATGACTCCACTGCCCCTGCTCCATCGAATATATTCTAAGACCGGGTAGCCACCTTTAATCGGCGTCTTATGGCAGGGAGAACCAACAGCCCTCAGCGCTCTGCCTCCGCTCCGACAGGGAGTACTCAGTTACTCGGGCTTTTTAGCTCTGGTCATGCAAGAGTTGATTGAAACTGTCGCCGTCAAATTCAGCAACCTAGGCTGTCATCCCTTCCTCGGACCCGGGGAGAGTTTTTATCACGCCTCCATGCTGCAGGACACTACCAAGGCGATGTTCGATAGTCCCCCGGCCTCCTCCTCAGACCTGGGCATATGGGATGACTATAACCCGCATCTCACCTCGCAGTATCTCGAGGTCTGGTTCAGTAATCATCCCTTATCGATCCTCATCTCCAAGTCACTTCTTCTCCGCGACCTGCGCAGCCAGACGGCCAATCGGATATTGTTGGCGATCCTGCTGGCGGACGCCCATCACTTTGCCGAGGAATCTAGCAAGGGAGATCGCCTGGTGCAGTGGGCCATCGCGCAATTACCCAGTGTTCCTGCAGGGAAGGGGGATCTCACCACCGCGCAGAGTCTCCTCCTTCTGGGCTGGTACCATGCCTGCCGCGGGCACTCGCGCCGGGCATTATGCTATGTGGGATACGCAGGCCGTATCATCACGACGTTGAAGTGCCAACTGTCAGAGTCGTCTTCAGCCGGGCAGACGCACATCAATGGTGTTGATCACGGCGCAGTCGAGGCAGAGCTAATTCACAATATATGCTGGGTGATGTTGGCCCTCACGCTATGGTCGTATCTCCAGATGGATATGCCTCTGGTAGATCTCATGCCCGCGCGGCTCATGCAGGTACTTCCTGCCATTTCAGAGGCCGAGTCGATGCTGCTCCAACTCGATCGAGCAACCGAGAACCTCTCTACCCTGAAATCGCAGTTCTCTTCCTTGCAGTCGGTGTGGCTGCTGGCACATGTCACCTCGTTGAGCGCGCGTCTGTACGCCGTCTATCCACGGCCCCAATGCAGCCCGCCGGTGCCGCAACCGTGGCAAGAGTCGATACTGCACCGGCTCGATCGCCTCCTGCACCAAGGCCGCAGTCTGGCGCAGGTTTGCGCGGGGGTCCGTGACGCCCTACTGGACATCGTTGCGATGGTGCAGCACGAATCGGGTGATAGCTGGGGTGGTCCGATACTGCGTGTTTTCTATCAGGCTGTTTGCTTTGCATCTACTCTTCCCACGAAAAGAGATGGGGAACGACACCGCCCAGGTTCTTGTCCTCAGCGACTCGCTCTCTGAACGGCTCACAACCTCTATGCATGCTTTGAAGCAGCTGTTCCCCGCGATTCAAGCCCTCTCGCAACATCACTTTGGCCACGCAGCTAGCACGGACTCCGCCTCGCTTCATTTCTACATGCTTGGCCTGGACGCTGTCAGTCGAGCTCTCATGTATATCCTCACTCTCTGGGACCGTGCCACGACGGTGGAGCAGCAGCTCTGGCGGGCTAGGCTTCTCAGGCTTTTAGAAGGGGGGCTGATGATGCAAGAGCTCTTCGATCACGAGACTCTCTTAAAGGGTTGCCGATGGCGCGCAGTAAACCGTCAGCTCAAGGCCGCTTGCAGCAGACTCGAGGGGGTGATTTCCAGCTTCCGAGATCAGTCCTGCCACAGCTTTTCTGGTGCATTGGACCTCAATCTGCCTTCGCAGCAGACATTGGCCGCGGACAATCCCATCACAGCGCCGGTGTCTTCGTGCTCGTCGCTCGTGCCCGTCGCCCATGATGCGGACTTCGAGTGGCTGGACTTGCAAGACGTCACGAGCCCCCCAACCACGGCGTCCGACTTGCGAGACTTCGGCCTCGCATCGTTGGCTAACCCCGTCCCCGTTCTGTCATTGAATCCGTTTGACTCCCTGCCCGGCGTGACTGGGCCATCCTGTCTGGTTCAACCAGGCCGGACTGCTCTTCCATTTAGCCTGTCATGGGACGATGCAATCATGAATTCTGTACTTCAACCGGTGAGCGTCATGCCACCGCCGTCGTCGGTCTCGCTGGGTGGTCTTGGTTCGAGGGGCCAGGAGAGCCAGAGGAAGCGATCGTCGAACGATCTCAGCGGTGTAGAGGAGGGGGGTGCGTTGGGGATGAGCCGGGTAGAGGAACCGAAGACGAAGCGATTGAGGGAGTTGCGCTCACATAGCGCCTCTCATTAAGCAGGCGTGTATTGGATGGTGTTGTCGGTGTAGATGTCTGTCCTCGGTATTAGTTGCTGAGGAGGTTGTAAGCTGACGCTGCTCGGATTTTGTATGGGTTGTTTTTCTATGGCTGATTAAACCTCCGTCGTGCCACGGAGATCCGGCGGGATATCGTATACAGTATATGCCTATTCATCCCCAGCCACAGCAACGGCAAGTCTGGGTTGAAGAGGGCCGGGCGAGTCGCAAGGATGACCGTCAAGTGTCAAACTTCTAAACAAGTGCTTCACGATTGACTACTTGATCTTTGCAAGACACCACGGACATGCTAAGCGCGTACGGAGGCGTTTGATATTGCTGATATCGATGGTCCGGAGATAATGCTACGGAGCATTAGGGACTACGCTGTGGTCAGAGGGTACTCAGGTGCCCGTATTGGTCCCAGTACTTCGGACATAAACTGTGTGTGCCCTTTTTATTCGAGAATCCAAAGCAAAGGATTGCTAGGAATTGGTGGTGTGCAACTTGCACTGTAACCGGTAGCCCTGATGCTTGGCCCAACCCCAAGGCACCTGCTGCTGCATTTGCTTCTGATCCAGGAGATCAAGTATGGTAATTTGGAACCAGAATCACGAGTTATTCGTGTAGTTGGCATCGGCATCGGCATCTATATCTTCTTGATATACCGTCTTATCATGAAGCCAATAAGCACGTCATTAGCGCTGCTTAGGGCGATAGCTAGCTACCTGGGTAGTTAGCTGACACCAACCTAGCTGTGCCTGTGCATCCTGGTCACCTCAGTTGATTGATCCTTCGAGTACCTACGCAGAAAGCCATGACCCAGTTCTACGCCCCCGAAACCCCCGATCGCGTCAAAAACGCCACCGTACACCCTCTCTCCCTCCCTATCCAAACACTCTCAAATACTAATACAATAAGGGCCTCCACCTCATCACCGCCCTAACCCCCAACGGCCGCAAAGCCCACATCTACCTCGAGGAGCTGAAAGAAACCTACGGCCTCCCCTTCACCATCAGCCTCATCGACCTCGACACGAACGAGCAGAAGAAACCATGGTTTCTGCGCTTGAATCCGAATGGTCAGCTTGCTTGCTTGCTTGCTTGCCTTTGCCCTTCCGCAACCCCCAGCAATCCCAAAACTCCACATGCACCAAGGCACTGCACTGCATGCAACAACCAAAGTCCCCTAACCTGTGAGATAGGCCGCATCCCCCTCCTAATCGACAACACCACCACCCCGCACCCGCACGTCGTCATGGAGTCCTCCGCTATCCTGCTGTACCTGTTCCATCAGGTCGATCATTCCCAACAATTTGGGTTCGCGGACCCGCTGCAGCAGAGTCAGCTGCTGCAGTGGCTGGTCTTCTGGGGTGCGTCGGGGCAGATGGTTCAGGGGCAGTGGAATTATTTCCGGCGGAACCAGGTCGAGAATGATCGTGAGTTTCGCCCTGACTCTTGAAATCGGTGGTTCGGCTCGACTGCTTGGGCTCTAATCCTGGCCATAGACGCGAAGAAGCGTTTTCACGATGAGTTACTCCGCGTGTATCACGTCCTCGAAGCGCATCTCGCGGGACGGTATACGGATCCCGGACTGGGAAGGGAGTACCTGGCGGGCCAGGGGAGGGGGAAGTATACGTTGGCGGATATCAATGCTTGGCCGTGGGTGAGGAACTTTAGGGCTGTTGGGCTGGAGGAGGAGGAGTTGGACAGGTTGCCTGCGCTTGCGGCGTGGGTGGATAGGGTTGGCGGGCGGGCGGCGGTGCAGAGGGGCGCGTTTGGGGAGGCGTATGATGAGGGGTTGTCGCCTGAGTTGGTGCTTAGGACGTGATCTACACTGTAGGTTAGTTAGGGGGTTGGGGGGAAGGGTGGTTATCATTCTTGCTTCTGGCAGCTGGATGGTGGGTTGCGTGGCGGTGGTAACAGTATACTGCCCTTATCCAGCGATATGTATGCATGTTGAAGTTGAACAGGTTGTTGATTCAGTTTGCCTGTGGGTGTATATGACCGATCTAACCTTTCATACATTGTATACACAGGTATGTCCGGAATTGCTCTTATATATAGAACGTGCAGAACAGCTTTGCTACTGTTTTCTACCACGGCTTTGTGGTGGGATCGCTTCAGTTTATATATCTCATGGCTCAATATATCATTACTGAGAATTCGCGAAGGATGTCATGTCAGTATGCAGTAGATACTGGATATGTCCCGAGAGCATAGTCAATATTAGATCACATCTCGAGGTGACTCACTGATGAGATATGGATGATGCTGCTGCTGCTGTTGCTGGCAATAAGTTACTCTTTATTCCTCGTCCCTTCCGCCTGCCTCGCTCACGTGACGATGTGTTGGTCTCCCTCACCCTCTATTGCCGTTCTCAAGACCTCGTCAAATCCGCACGACCCCAGAGGCACTTCGTCTCTTAAGTCGCCGTTGATTAAGAGAGCCTGCGAGCTGCTCGACTGACTCGACGCGACTTTCTTCCCCTGCGCCTTGTGTCACGACACCCCGGATTCCCAACCTTTACCACCATCCACCACCACCACCACCACCACCAAAGCTCTATCCCCGCACTCGCGCTTCCGCCGAACCATGCACCTTGTCGCCTGTTCCCAGATGGACATCCCCCAAACCTACTGCTGAACATCCCGACCCAGCTCAAACCTCCCCCAAACATCCTTAAGCCCGGGTACTGCCCGGGTGCCATGTCAAGCCATGGAAGCTGATTGGGATGAATTGTCGCGAATACCCGTGCCGCCTCCAAGTCCGCACGGGTTGCCGACGGTCGCGACCACAATAGCCTTTGACGATGTGATGGAACTTCTGTGGGCCGGAAATGAATATGTACGCCCGACCGACCCTTGACATACCGCTGGCGATACTGATCTAGCTTCTGGCTGCTTAGGGCCGAATTACCTCCTTCTACGGTCCCGAAATGCAGAGGTATACCTCTGTTCGGGCACACCCCGTGTCGGAAGGCGCGGTGCGACAGATCCTCTTCCATGAGAGAGGCGTGTTATCGATCTCCTCGAAGAGTGCACACATGATCACCCGACGCGGCCTGACGCAGTGGCACATCGCCCACGAAGAGATGACCGACCTTCGCTGCATGAGTTTCACCGCACAAACGAACCGGATCATCGTGGCCGGATGCCAGAAAGTCATGTTCACCATCGATATCGACAAGGGGATTATTGTCGACAAGTTGCCGACGGATTACAACTACACCATGATGAAGAAGAGCCGGTATCTCTGCGCGGCCACCGACACCGGCTCCGTCAACGCGCTGAGTCTGAATGACTTCAGCGTCGTCAAGTCGTGGAAAGCCCACGGCACCGCCGTCAACGACATGGATGCGCGGAACGATCTGCTGGTCACCTGCGGCTTCTCGGTCCGACACCTGGGGGCCCCGATCGTGGACCCCCTCGCCAATGTCTACGACCTGAAAACCCTCTCCCCGTTACCCCCGATCCCCTTCCACGCGGGTGCCGCCTACGTGCGCATGCACCCGAAGCTGCACACGACGAGCTTCGTCGCCTCCCAGACGGGCCAGCTGCAGGTCGTGGATCTGATGAATCCCAATGCGATCAACCTGCGGCAGGCGAATGTTTCTTTCATGCTGGGCATCGACCTCTCGCCGTCGGGAGAAGCGCTCGCCATCAATGATGCGGAGTGCCAGATTCATCTGTGGGGCTCCCCGGCGAAGGTGCATTTCAACGAGATGAGCAAGGAAACCGAGTTTGCCGATGTCACGCCGCGGGCGCCGCCGGTCGACTGGTCTCCGGAAACGCCCCTGAATATGATCGGGATGCCGTATTACCACGACCGGCTGTTCTCAGCGTGGCCGAGTCATCTCGTTTTCGAGGTCGGTAGTCCCCCGGCCCCCGTCGACCAGGCTTTGCTCGCCTACCTACGCCCGGCCGAGATTGGCCATTATGCCGCGAACCCGAAGAAAACGCGGCGGTATCAGGTGGAGAACACCCGCGCACTATCTACGGCGGACACGGCTCTCATCGCTCCCAAATTCTTGAGTGAAAAGGCCAGGGAGCAGAGCAAGGTCAAGTCCGATGGTTCCGTCAGCGACACAACGGAGGCCTTGGCTGGTGCGAAGCTCAACGGTGAAGCTGAAGACGACCCGCTTCTAAAATACAGTAACGTCGAAATCAAGTACAGTCGATTTGGTGTTGATGATTTCGACTTCCGGTATGTCAGACAGCATCTCTTGGTACACTCTCATGCATGACTAACGTAGCTCAGATTCTATAACCAGACGACCTTCTCTGGTCTCGAGACACACATTGCGAACTCCTTTACCAACGCTCTCCTTCAACTCTTCAAGTTCATCCCGATGATTCGCAATGTTGCGCTCCATCACGCTGCTAGCTCTTGCATATTCGAGAGCTGTCTTCTGTGTGAGATGGGTTATCTATTTGATATGCTCGAGAAAGCCAACGGGCAAAATTGCCAGGCGACCAATCTCCTGAAGACCTTCAGTAGCTCTCGTGAAGCGTCCAGTCTGGGTCTATTTGAGGAGAACTTGACGACCAAGTCTCTTTCCACGGCCATCCAAGCGGTCAACAGGTTCTTCTTGACACAAATCTCTCACGACCACCGGATGATCTTACCCAGCTCGGAAGAACTCGATCAGCGACTCAACACAGTTGCCTCTGAGACTATACGGTGCATGTGCTGCCAGAACGATATCGTCAGGCCTGGAAATTCCCTGGTCAACGAGCTGGTGTACCCCGCCATTGACCTAAAGCAAATCCGCCGGAACCCTGCCTTCCGCTTTTCCAACATCTTGCGAGCCAGCATAGAGCGAGAAACCCAGAATAGAGGTTGGTGCAATTTGTGTCGGCGGTACCAACAAGTGAAGATCCGGAAAAGCATACACCGTATGCCTCCGGTCCTAATGCTCAACGCAGCACTGAGTAACCCCATCTGTCGCCGCCTGTGGGCTATCCCTGGCTGGCTGCCGGAAGAAATCGGAATTGCGGTCGACAATGGCAAGGCTCTGTGCTTTGAGGGCGATGAGCTCAAGTTGCGACTCCAGTCCAAGATGGCTGGGCTTGTGGTGTATGAACTGGTGGGGTTGGTTTGCGAGATCGACATCCCTGAGCATCAGAAAGCTCATCTGGTCTCCTTCATCAATGTCTCCATATCATCACCCGAGGCGGACCCTACGAATAAGTGGCATTTATTCAATGACTTCCTCGTGACTGAGGTTGACAGGGATGAAGCCCTCCGATTCAATCAACCGTGGAAAGTACCATGTGTCTTGGCTTACCAAATCAAGGATGGACGTCATTCCATGGACGACTCCTGGAAGAAATCGCTTGATACCACCCTTTTGTTCCGTGATTGGTCTATGAAGTAAGTTTACCTTCGAGTTTTTGGTGGCACCTCATTCATTAACGCCCCTCTCTAGTGCTGGCCAAGCCGTGGATTCGCGCGTGACACTTACCGAGGAGGAAAAGCCCACTCCGGGCACCCCTGTTGCGCTGGATACGGAATTCGTCGATCTCGAAAAAGCGGAAATCGATGTCAAGGCAGACGGCTCGCAAGAGGTGGTACGGCCGAACAAGAGTGGCCTGGCTCGGGTGTCTGTTCTCCGAGGCACCGGGCTTCGCGAGGGCGTTCCGTTCATCGACGATTATATCAACATCAAAGAACCCATTGTGGACTACGTTACGCAGTATTCCGGTATCAAGCCCGGGGACCTCGATCCCCGAACAAGCCCACACAATCTCGTTCCACTGAAAGTGGCATATAAGAAGCTCTGGCTGCTTCTGAATCTAGGCTGTGTGTTTGTCGGGCACGGCCTGGCCTCCGATTTCCGGAAAGTAAACATTCAGGTCCCTAAGAACCAAACGGTGGACACGCAGTATCTGTTCTTCCACCCTGGGAAGAATCGGCGTCTGAGTCTCCGATACCTCGCCTGGGCTGTGTTCAAGGAATTCATTCAAGAAGAGCCCACCGACAACAACAACCAAGGACACGACTCGATCGAGGATGCGCGGATGGCGCTGCGCCTTTGGAAGAAATTCAAGGAGTATGAAGACGCCGGGGTCGTATCCCAGATTCTGGAGGAGATCTTCCGCGAAGGGTCCAAGCTTGGATTCCGGCCGCCCCCCAGGAACGGCACCACGACCGTCCTTTCTCGTCCCGGTACTGCGGTCACGATGCAGAATGGCAGCGGCCGCAACACTCCCAGCACCCCCGACGTTGGAGTCCCCGCCGGCAGCGCGCCTGCAACCCCGCGGCAAGCGTTTCGACGCTCGATCGCGTTGACTCCGAGTAACGGCAGCTTTGCGAGCCCTGCCGCAAGCGACATTTTTGGTGCTAGCCCGTTGAAGTAGGCAGTCGTCGGCTGTTTGATGGAAGCGATAACGGTCTTCCAATCAGGACATGTTTGCTTTTGATTACACTTATACCATGAATCGCTTGATAGAAAGCGACCTTGATTGAGGGGGCTCAATTGACTGTCGCAGTTGGGTATCGCTGACAATTGGCTTACCATGCTTCGCGCTTTAATCAGAAATAGAAATTACACCTAGATTCAATATTCTCATTGGGGTTTGCTGTAGTGACAAGGGTAATTCCTTTATCAAACTGGAACATCATTGACGAATATCTCCTCGGTGACTGGAAGAACTGGTGGTGGGTGGGGAATGACGTGGTTGCGGGAGGATCTCAGATCAACTCAGCTCAGCTCGCGGCTTCCACAAACTCCCCGGCTAATCTCTCTCTCTTCACTATCTCCCCCTTCACTCTCATCAACAAGCCTGTTGATGGGCAAATAGAGTTTCCTGCAAACAACGGCCTAAGTTCTTAGAACATCTGACCTGTTTAGATCTGTTCATCGCACCGGTGCATCCATCCGACTCACTCAGTTCGCCTTCCCCCTCTGAACGAAAACCCCTCCTTCCGCAAAGCTGCTCCGCTTCTCTCGACAGGCGCAACTGACAATCTCACCATGTCGCGCCATCGTGTCAAGGCTGTAAGCTACGATGAAGATGACTATGACGACGGATACTACTCCCCCGACCCCGAAGAGCAGGAGTTTCTAGAGCAGTGCACGACCGAGGTGCTGAACCAGCTGCGTGCGGGGGATCCCTCGGTCATCGCCACCCGCAGCGAGGTCCAGGATGCACTGTACCACTACTACGATGATATTGAGAAGTCGGTGAATTACCTTAGAGGTGCGTGTTTTCGCTGCCAGAGGATGAATTCTTCCTCCCCGGGCTGGTATCCTGTTGCAGAGACCCAACTAACCACCGCATTCCTTCGCTCCAGGCAAGAAGGTCAAGGAACTTCAGAAGAAGCAAGCCGCTCCACCTGCCGCCCCGAAGACGAAAGGGACATCAGGTAAGCCTTTCTTGCGACGTTCTTCAATCATTTTGTATTTTTCTTTCTCGTCGGTGGTTGGGCTCGGGCCCACATAGCAGTGGTGTTCTTCTGGGCTATTTGGATATCTTCACCTTTTGGAATGTGAGTACATGAAGTGTCCTTCTTGTTGAACTGGGTGTATGTGCGACTGGTCCAAACTGACGTCTTTCTTGTCTTCCTCGCCACAAAGCTCTGGGACGGTTTTTATTCTAACAGGCTTTTTTTCTGTTCCAGTGCCGGTTTATCCCGCTCCTCCTCTAATGTTTCCTTCCCCGGCGGCACACTTCTCGGCGGCAGACTTCTTTCGCGACGCTCCCTGGCTGAATGTCCCGGCACACCGCAAGGGTGAGATCCTCGTGGAGCCGCTTTACCCTCGACTGGGTCTTCTGGGCGGTGCGCCCGAGGGCGCGGGTGGAGGGAAAGTGTCGAAGCTGGCTGCGTTGGCTGCTGCACGCAGGAAGAAAGAGGGTGACAAGGCTGCGACTGCTGCTGCTGCTGCGACCCCACCTGCGGCTGCGGATATACCTGATGCTGAGAAAGCCCCTCCGACGGTCCCTAGTGAGCCGAAAGGTGCTCCGTTGTCTCTACGCGAGAGGCTGGCGGCCAGTGGCAAGTCGCAGAAGCCGGCATCGGAGGGGCTGCAATCCCTGCGTTCCCTCGGCAAAGGATCTCGTCAGGGCAGCTCCTTGTCGAGCAAGAAGACTACACCGGAGCCGACGCCGCAAGAAAGCCCTAAGGAGGAGGAGAAGGAAGCTACAACTACGAGCCCAGAGCCGAAGACACCTGTGACCGGCAAGGAGACAGAGCAGGCTGCCGTGAACATCCGCGCACCGCCGTCCACATTTGCCAGCGCCATTGTCGGGGTTGCGACCCGGCCGAAGATGACCGAGCCCAGCCACTTATCCGCAAACACTCTTGACTTGATCAGAATTTACGGACAGGATCTCGCTGAACCCTTTGACTTTGCAGGCCCCAGCCCCGACGATGTTGTCATCAACGCACAAAGCTCTGCTAAAGGTTTGGCTATTCGGCGCAAGATATAGGATCTCCCCCTAATGGACGTGCAGGCTTCAAATCGAAACAGCCTGCTTCCAAATCGGCAGGTAACAAGAAAGCGCAGGCTGACCTGACGGGTGGGATGAATGACCTCAGCGTTGAGGAGAAGGTGAATATCAAGAGCAAGAACTTAGATGTTTTGTCAGAGTATAGCAAAGCGGAACGGAAGAGAGCGATGAATTTCGCGGTTATTGGTGAGTAAACTCAGCCCCCAGCGGTCTCGATGGCATCGCCTGCTAATAGCAGGATAGGCCATGTTGATGCGGGAAAGAGTACGTTGATGGGCCGCTTGCTTGCTGATCTGAAGGCGATCGACCAGCGCACGCTCGATAAATACAAGCGAGAGGCAGAGAAGATTGGAAAAGGATCGTTTGCTCTCGCCTGGGTTCTGGACCAAGGTGCGGAAGAGAGAGCGAGAGGGGTGACTATTGACATCGCCACCAACAAGTTCGAGACGGAGAAGACGGTGTTCACGATTGTCGATGCTCCCGGCCATCGTGATTTTGTGCCCAACATGATCGCCGGTGCCAGTCAGGCTGACTTTGCCGTCCTTGTGATCGACTCCAGTATTGGCAACTTCGAGTCCGGGTTGAAAGGCCAGACCAAAGAGCATGCTTTGCTGGTGCGGAGTATGGGCGTGCAGAGGATCATTGTGGCTGTGAACAAGATGGACTCTGTACAGTGGGACAAAGAGCGTTTCGACGAGATTGAGCAGCAGGTCTCGTCCTTCCTGACGACTGCCGGCTTCCAGCCCAAGAACATCAACTTTGTGCCTTGCTCTGGTATCAGCGGCGATAATGTCACCCGACGCAGCGATGACCCGAACGTGTCGTGGTACCATGGGCGCACCCTGGTTGACGAGCTTGAGGCCACGGAGCCTTATTCCCATGCGGTTGACAAACCCCTTCGAATGACGATTGGTGATGTGTTCCGTGGTAGCGTTCAGAACCCATTGTCGATATCTGGTCGCATAGATGCGGGTAGCTTACAAGTGGGCGATCATATCTTGACCATGCCCAGCGGGGAGACTGCCACCATCCGGAGCTTGGAAGTAGACGGAGAACCCAGTGACTGGGCCGTGGCGGGTCAGAACGTCGTCCTGAACCTGGCCAACATTGATCCCATCCACCTTCGATCGGGTGATGTGGTCTGCCGGGCGTCCGCGCCGATTGCCAATGTCACTTCCTTTACGTGCAAAGTGTTGGCCTTCGACCACCTGCTGCCTAGCATGGTGGACATCCACCGGGGTCGTCTGCATGTGCCGGGACGGATCAGTCGGCTCGTGGCAACTCTGGATAAACAATCTGGCAACATCCTCAAGAAGAAGCCCAAGATTGTGGCGCCAGGTACAGTGGCGCGGATTGTCGTGGAAATGGACCAAGCGGTGCCTCTAGAAGCGCCTACGCGGATTGTTCTTCGAGCCGGAGGCGAGACCGTGGCCGCTGGCTTGTTGGAGTAGATAGAAGCAGACGGTTATGACGCATGCAGATGCAGCATTTACTACATAGACAGTTCTTTATTTCTTCTACTTTTTTTCTGAAGTCTCAGGGGGTATACTGGACAATGACTCGTGCTGAGTATCCATGTATGATGTCCATTTTGCCAGCCTGGCCTGAACTAAATAGAGGATCTCGAAGATGCCACGACTGCCGTGGCCGTCGTAGTCCCTTCTAGACTAACCAGCCCTGTCAGACCCTGTGTCATCCTGACAAAACCAACTGAAACTGGCCTTAAGCGTCACGGACTCACGGGTCTTGGACAGAGTGGCCGCAACTGAAAGCAAGGGAAGCCGGGAAGCCTCCTGAGTGGAGAGGTATCCACTTTCTTCAAATTCGAGACCCTGGTGGCTTGTTTATGAGTCAGAGTGTTGATGATGAGGATGAAGAAAAGGCCGGAGTAGGGAAAGTAAACAGCCACCCGACCCCGCGGACAGGATAAGGGGACAGTTGTCTGATTCCTGTAGGTTGATAGCAATGGAACGGCGCAAGAATGAGCGGAATGAGCAGGATTGGGACCGGAGAATACGGTCTCTAGTACTACACCTCCAGGCTAAATGACCAACTGGCCAGATCGGGACAAGTTCGAGTGTCTCCATGCAAGGACGAACCTCGGGAAAGCGGAGCAAGCGAACAAATCGGAATGCGATTCTAGCAAGTTCGACGAACCGCCTGGAAAATTGGGCTGGCAGAATCCCGGGCGGTGTTCCTGCATTGCTGAGTCAGCCGGTGCCCTGAACGCGCTCTCCACCAATCACAGCACGAGAAGTAACCTTAAATGCCATACCCGCGAAAAGGCCAGCATGGCCGCTGCGCTTTCTTTGCCGCCGCCATCCCATACAAGAAGGAACATACAAAGCTGGCTGAAGCTCCCTCCAGACATTCTTTCTTTCTCCTCTTCCCTCTCCTCGTCGCCTTTCTTTTCAACCAACCTCCCCCCCCTCCCTCTCTCCCTCCCTTTCTCCCTTTCATCTTCTTTCTTTTCTTTCTCTTCGCGTGACAGGTACACACTGTTGACGAGAGAAAAGGGAGTTCCACATTTTGTGACCTCGAAAAAAACATTGCTACGTGTCCTGTGGTGAGGACTGTAACTACACACATAGACACATACACAAACACACATACCTACCATGGCGCGCGTCTCCGCTCGCCAGGGTGCGGCCAAGCCCTTCACGGCTTGGACCACCGTTTTCTATCTGCTTCTTGTTTTCATTGCGCCTTTGGCTTTCCTCGGAACCGCACACGCTCAGGATGATTCGTCAGTACAAGACAACTACGGCACTGTCATTGGTATCGATTTGGGAACCACCTACTCGTGAGTTGATCCTATCGAAGGAGCATGTGCGGTGTTTGAGACGCGAACTGAGACTAACCGGACGACCTGCAGTTGTGTTGGTGTGATGCAGAACGGCAAGGTTGAAATTCTCGCCAACGATCAAGGAAACCGTATCACTCCCTCCTACGTTGCCTTCACCGATGAGGAACGTCTCGTCGGTGACGCCGCCAAGAACCAATATGCCGCCAACCCCCGCCGCACCATCTTCGACATCAAGTGAGTTTATTGTCTGGTTGATTGAGTGGAATCTATTGTGCTAATATGCTGTCTAGGCGTCTGATTGGTCGCAAGTTCGACGATACCGATGTTCAGAAGGACGCCAAGAACTTCCCCTACAAGGTCGTCAACAAGGATGGCAAGCCCGTTGTCAAGGTCGAGGTCAACCAGACCCCTAAGATCCTGACTCCCGAGGAGGTTTCCGCCATGGTTCTGGGCAAGATGAAGGAGATCGCTGAGGGCTACCTCGGCAAGAAGGTCACCCACGCCGTTGTCACCGTCCCCGCCTACTTCAACGACGCCCAGAGACAGGCCACCAAGGATGCCGGTGTTATTGCCGGTCTCAACGTCCTCCGTGTTGTCAACGAGCCCACCGCCGCCGCTATCGCCTACGGTCTGGACAAGACCGATGGTGAGCGCCAGGTCATCGTCTACGATCTTGGTGGTGGTACTTTCGATGTCTCCCTTCTTTCGATCGACGACGGTGTCTTCGAGGTCTTGGCTACCGCTGGTGACACCCACCTTGGTGGTGAAGATTTCGACCACCGTGTCATGGACTACTTTGTCAAGCAGTACAACAAGAAGAACGACGTCGACGTCCGCAAGGACCTCAAGGCCATGGGTAAGCTCAAGCGTGAGGTCGAGAAGGCCAAGCGTACTCTGTCTTCCCAGATGTCTACTCGCATTGAGATCGAGGCCTTCCACAACGGCGAGGACTTCTCCGAGACCCTGACCCGTGCCAAGTTCGAGGAGCTGAACATGGATCTGTTCAAGAAGACCCTGAAGCCTGTTGAGCAGGTTCTCAAGGACGCCAAGGTCAAGAAGTCCGAGGTTGACGACATTGTCCTTGTCGGTGGTTCCACCCGTATCCCCAAGGTCCAGGCTCTCTTGGAGGAGTTCTTCGGTGGCAAGAAGGCCAGCAAGGGTATCAACCCCGATGAGGCTGTCGCTTTCGGTGCCGCCGTCCAGGGTGGTGTTCTGTCTGGTGAGGAGGGTACCGGTGGTGTCGTTCTGATGGACGTCAACCCCTTGACCCTCGGTATCGAGACCACTGGTGGTGTCATGACCAAGTTGATCCCCAGAAACACCGTCATCCCCACCCGCAAGTCCCAGATCTTCTCCACCGCCGCCGATAACCAGCCCACCGTTCTCATCCAAGTTTGTAAGTTGAATCGTGTTGATGTTTTGGTCCGTCGGATACTAACCGGGTTCTAGACGAGGGTGAGCGTTCCCTGACCAAGGACAACAACCTGCTCGGCAAGTTCGAGCTTACCAGCATTCCCCCCGCTCCTCGTGGTGTTCCTCAGATTGAGGTCTCCTTCGACCTCGATGCCAACGGAATCCTGAAGGTCAGCGCCAGCGACAAGGGCACCGGCAAGGCCGAGTCCATCACCATCACCAACGACAAGGGCCGTCTGTCCCAGGAGGAGATCGAGCGCATGGTGGCCGAGGCGGAGCAGTTCGCGGATGAGGACAAGGCCATCAAGGCTAAGATCGAGGCCCGCAACGGACTGGAGAACTACGCCTTCAGCCTGAAGAACCAGGTCAACGACGAGAACGGGCTGGGTGGTCAGATCGACGAGGACGACAAGCAGACCATTCTGGATGCTGTCAAGGAGGTGACTGACTGGCTGGAGGACAACGCTGCCACTGCTACCACGGAGGACTTCGAGGAGCAGAAGGAGCAGCTGTCCAACGTGGCGTACCCCATCACCAGCAAGCTGTATGGCTCTGCCCCGGCGGATGAGGATGACGAGGCGTATGGCCATGACGAATTGTAAAATAAGTTATTCTTAGAGGGATTGTTTAAGGAGTTTGCATTGCTTGATTGTTCAAGACCAACCAACATTTTGGTTTGATAGTTTAAATATGATACCTATCCTAGATGCTCTCATCGATGCTCTCTACTTGGTCCGTTACTTGAATGAATAGAGTTAGACTCCCAGACTGAAGTCCGACTGTATTTGAGCTTGATAGTCCATTCATACAACCTTCCTTATACTGAATACTGTAGAGGCATTCCCCCTCGAGATTTAAGCCGAAGGCACCTCTCCCCCATGACCCTGCGAAATAAACTCCCGCACCACATCGACAATCACCTGATGATCATCCTCCTGCTTCAACCCACTGACCACAATGACGCCCACCACCCCATCCACCCCGCGCACCCGCACCGGGAACCCCCCACCATGAATGGCATAATCATCCGCCACCGCCCCGCCATTACTGGACCGCAGCGCATACTTCCTGACGAACGTCGCCTCCACCCCTCCCTTCTCGGCGTCCGCCAGCGTGGACAAGAGCTTGTTGCGCATCAACCAACGCCAGTCCTGCGACAAAGTGTGGATCAGATCCGGGCGCTCGCGCGCCAGGATGTTGTACACCAGCCAGCTGCTGGCGATCTTGCTTTCGCCGCCGGCGGCCGCGGGGTGGAGGCACAGCAGCGAGACGATGTCGCCCGCGTCGGTGTGGAAGACTTGCTTGTCGGCCGTGTTGGAGGGCGCGCCGATGGTGCCGGCGCGCGTGGTGCGCGTGATGTCCTTGATGTGCGAGAGCACGAGCGACGTGCCGCTGCTGAAGCGCTGGTCCTCCTGCCGTCCGCGGATGTTGCCGACGTGCGCGGATACCCCCGCGTAGATGATGATGTTGTCTTCCCGGGAGTAGTGGTCGATGCGTAGGCCGCGCAGGACGAAGAATCCCCGGCCCAGGTGTAATTCTCGCGATTGCTGGCGGAGGCGATCGTGTAGCGTTGGTAGAGGGAAGGTGGATTGATCGATCGCTCCCCAGGGGAGATTGCGCGCTGTGATGATCGGGAGTGCTTAGGAACGGAACTGGACACGATGGATGGGGATGGGGATTAGGTAAGGCTACTTAGGGTGCGGGCGTTGATGCCCTAACCTACGGTACTGTACCTTTGAAGCTCTGCAAGGCGCCATGGATCTCATCCAGCTCCGTCTCGCTCAAACGCACCACCCAGTCATCGCGACTCGCGACATCCTTGCCTTCCCAGACGAGGTTGGAGACCAGTTCCGTGGGAAAGCCGTTGGGTACGGTCTGGGGGAGAGTCTCCGTGGCCTTGCGTCGGGCTGTTCGGGCCTGGTATTTGTCCCAGTCGGGATGGTACTGAATGTCAGGCTGGACGAGAGTCTCGACGGCAGTCATGGTGAACGTGGGCGTGCGTGCGTGTTGATTTGTTTGGATGGGGCTGGAGTATTTGCGGGGTTCTTATCTATTCTTATCTGTGCTTATGGCGCTGTTGAGAGCTAAGATGTGGTGATGGCCGGGATGCAGCACGCCATCGCTCTCCACAATGCATGCATGCGCGCCATTTTAATCCGACATCTTCCACGATCACGGGCTGCTACTCCTTCTCTAGCAGAAGCTCCACCTCTTCAAAAAGCTTCAATCGGAGCTTGGTCGTTCGCCCACATGCTCACCAGGATTCGGCGATCCCCCGTCCACGGCTTGCGCCCGTGCGACACCTGGAAATTGTCCACCAGCAGCAGATTCCCTTCCTCCAGACAAAGATCGATCTCCAGACGATCCACCACCTCCTCCAGCCGTTGGACGTACTCCGCAGGGATGACAGTCCCATCGCCATAGTCGCACGGCAGATCTACCCTCACTTGTTAGCATTCCATCGGAGTGTCCGGAGGGGGCTCTATCCTACATGTCATTCCATCGCGCCCCAGATACGGTGGCTCCAACGCTCCCAGATCACGCGTCATTCCATACCGACCGACCAACCCGTTAAACCAAACCGGTCGTCCGCTAGCAGGAGCGCGTTGAATACCTTCCGCACGAATCAGTACTGTACCCGCACTCGAAGACTACGTAGGGAATGGACGTACCCGGAATATGCTGCGTCAACTCCAGCGTATCGTCCTTCAACCACCGGAAACTCGGAGTGAGCCTGCGCACCTGCGCTTCAACCTTGGCCTTCTGCGTGTCGCGATCATCCCCGGCCTCAAACTCTTGTCCAAAGCTGTGCTCGCCCGCCCAGTTGAACTCGTTTCCCCGGCCCTCGTGACCCGGGGCCCGGAAGACCATCTTCATGGCCAGGCCCCGTTGGTGGACCTCGTGCACGAGGGCAGGCACCGCACACTGCAGCCTCTCGTAGACCAAGGCGCTGTGTGCGATCGGGGTTTGTCCACCGCGCGGGGCTTTCGTCTGGCAGTAGAAGTGGATGTTGGACGGGAAGCGCGTGTACCGTGAATACTGGACAGAAAGACATGGTCAACCATTCATTCTGCTTCCTTCTGATGGGAATGTGGTATGAGGTATAGCACAGCGGCCTACCTCATTGTGCTGGTAGAATCGACGATCGGACGGTCCCTCGTTGGCCGTCCACACATTCTCGGCCACCAGGGTGCGTTTCCCGGCAAGACCAATCTGCTCGAACGGATGGGAGCCGCGCGCTTTCTCGGCGGCGTTGACGAGTCGCGCGAACGTCTCCGCGGAGGGATGGCCGATCCCGTGGATGAGCACGGCGCCATGTCGCTGGAGCAGCTCGGACAGGCGTCCGGACTCAGCCAACGAGGCGATGGCCGTCACGGCATCATCGACCGTCGGCACGCCACTGCTGGCTGCTCCATCCGGGCGGTGGATTTCCAGTCCATAGGGAAAAGCATTTCCATGCACGGTCTGGGCCCCTGGCACGTCGAATGGTTGGAAAGTAGTAGTCATAGTGCAGGCATTCATTGGTGTTTTTCTTACATGGAAATGGAGTTTCTCTCTCACAGCGGTCGTCTTAATATGGGCTGCGGATGGGGATGGGGTGGGGCTTGGTGGGAATAACGCCATCCCAGCTGCAGGTGAACTCATCCACTAAGAGTTAGCCCTCTTGGCAGCTTGATTTACTTCGGAGTGAAGCCGACAGGATTTCACGAGCTTGCAGGTTGTGGCGTCTATCACGTCATTTGCTGATCAGGACTAGGGTTTGATCAGATCAGTACTTATATAAACTACTTTGTTCCGAGCCCGGGGCTATGGCTGTACGTTCCAGGCTGGAGTCAAAATGGGCAGCGACATAATCTCCAAGGCGACGGTCCAGACACATTCATCCCAGTCTCACCCTGACGATGACAGCCTCAAGCGTGGGGTGCGACTCACCGTCAACGAGAATCATGTGCTCCAGGATCGCAAGATTGGAGTGCTGGGAGCCATCTCGCTGATTGTCAACAAGATTATAGGCGCCGGGTTAGTCCGTTGATGTGCCAATCCAAGGACATTTTGTTTCTTGCTCACAGAGGATAGAATCTTCTCCACCCCCTCGACCATCTTCAAGCTCTCCGGCAGTGTCGGGCTGTCGCTACTGCTCTGGGTGATTGCGGGGATCATCTCCGCCTGCGGAGCACTGGTCATGCTGGAATTCGGCAGTGGGATTCCTCGCTCCGGGGGCATCAAGGTGTACCTGGAACGCTCCTTCGCCCCCAAGCGCATGCAGACGTGCATCTACCTCTTCTTCTGCCTGTTCCTGCAGGTCTCCGCCAGCAACGCCATCACCGCCGCCGAGTACCTCCTGTCCGCCGCCGGGGTGGAGTCGACGACCTGGAAGGAACGCGGGCTGGCCATTGCAGCGGTCTCCTTCGCCGTGGGCGTGCACACGGTGGCGCCTCGCGTGGGACGGGCGATGCAGGATGTGCTGAGCATGGTCAAGCTCTTCACGCTGCTCTTCATCGTGTGCACGGGGTTCGCCGCGCTGGCGGGGCATCTCCGCATCCCCAAACCCCACAACTTCGACCTCCAGACCTCCTTCGAGGGCACCTCCAACAACGGGTACGATATCGGCACCGCCCTCCTCGACGCCATCTTCTCGTACCAGGGCTACGACAATGTGAATGCCGTGCTGTCGGAGGTCAAGAACCCCGAACACACCCTCCGAATCGCCCTGCCTTGCGCCATGGTCATCATCACCGTGCTGTATGTCCTCGCCAACGTGGCGTATGTGAGTATTCCCACTGCCCTAGAAGGCCATAACTGATCTCCATTCCACTGGACAATAGTTCGCTGGCGTGCCCAAGGAGGAATTCCGCACCGCCAGCGTCACGATCGCAGCCAGCCTGTTCCGCAACGTCTTCGGCGAGACCGCCGCCACGCGAGCCCTGCCCGCCCTCGTAGCGCTATCCGCCCTCGGCCATCTCCTAGGAGTGGCATTCGTCGTCCGTAAGTCTTCTTTCTCCCGTTCCCCCGAAAACCCCTCCGAATCCCCACTCCAGCTGAGTTTGATCCCCAAATGCAGCGCGCCTCCTCCAAGAACTAGCCAAAGACGGCATCGCCCCGTTCCCGGACATCATGATGCAGAACCGGCCGTTTAAGACCCCCATTGCCGCGCTGATCGTGCACCTCGGGGTGACGGTCCTGTTCATCTGCGCCCCGCCCGCGGGCGACGCCTTCAGCTTCGTCGTCGGGCTCTCCTCGTACCCGATGTGTCTGATGCTGACGGCCATCACGGTGGGGCTGGTGAGGATGCGCCTCACGCGGACCGGGGAAGGGTGGTCGTCCTCCTACCCGGCGCCGTGGCCGGTGATCGGGTTCTATCTTGCCGCGAACATCGTACGTTACCCTCCGTCCCGTCCCAATCACCCAGGTGCGGATTGTTTGGCTAGGCTAACGTAAGGCTGATCGCGTGTGAAAGTTCCTCCTGGCCATGCCGTTTGTGCCGCCCAACTCGAGTGCATCCCGGATTCCGTACTGGTTGAGTCCCGTCGTGGCGTTGGGGATCCTGGGGCTCGGCGTGGTGTACTATCTGCTGCGCTTTGCGGTGCTGCCCCGGCTGCTTGGGTACAGTCTCCATCCCGTGACGAAGGATCTGACCGATGGGTCGCAGGTGACTCGGTTCTTGATGCTGAAGGAGCCGCGGTAGTGGAGGGTCGCTCTGGACTCCTCCCACAGATTTTGAACCCGAAAGAAATGCAATGCTGAATGGGCTGTCAGAGGATGTACAGTATTTCCGGGTGTCTGAGCACCCTTGAGGCTGAGCAGCTTTGCGGAAGTCATTTACTCCCGATGGCTTCACGAAGGCCGAACATGCCAAAGTTTGAGACCAGGTTGAGATACGTGGGGGTACACATACTAGACTGGATTCTCACCCGGAGAGGCCTCGACAACAAGTGGACTTGCACGACTCATCCAACGGCTCAAGCCGTACGATGCAGCCTGTCTTTCCCCTCCTCGCTAGATCTTCTATATGGAGTAGACCACAGACGCTTAATGCACTGACTTTAGTACCTCGTGCCGGTGAACCAACCGAACCGATGAAAATGCCCGTACCGTGCGCGGCCCCGCATCCGCCCTCCTCTGCCTAAGCCGTAAACGCTGTTTCTTCCGGGCACGGGAAAAGACGGTGACGGCCGTTCTCATTCTATCTGAAGGTTAGATAAGGTAGAGGGCGCAGGTGCTACAGGGGATGTCAGATTTATTGTTACAATTGCCTGACAGCAGACCTCCGCTGCGGCGATAAGCCCCGATTGATCTGATAAGCAGACTGTTTCTAAGGGCCCGGGCGGAAGAACAACATCCGCCCAGAGAAACCAGATGGATCTTAAACTCAATCCCGGCATCAAGGTATATGTGCGCATCGAAATAAGTGCATAGATGGATTAAGGGGTAGGATGGCGTGCTGCAAGCCTGACTAGACAACCAACTCGAGTTCAAAGAACGCACGCAACACAATGCTGAGGACTCGACCGTCACCATCCCCAATAGCCCCGAGTGACTGGACCCGAACTCGCCGGGAACTGCTCTTCGCCGCCATTATCCGGGGCTCATGCGCCACGGGCGACCTAGGGCCCCTGATTGTGCCAGGCTTTGTGTTCGTCGCGGCAGATATCCATGTCAGCCTGACCAGCGTCACCCTCTTGAAGGGCAGTCTTATCATGGTCCTGTGGGTCAGCGCCTACGTCTGCTCCCCTGTTGCCAATTGCTTCGGCAGACGCCCAGTGGACTTATTCACCACGCTTTTGGTCCTGATCTCATGCTGTTGAGCTGCGGTTGCAAAGTCGTACTCCTCGCTGATCGCATCCTGTGTTTTCCAAGGTCTGCGCCAATATCCAAGAACCTCTCTACGATACCAACATACTGAGATCCTCTATGACCAACAGGACTAGGTAGGGGAAAATAATTTGCTCTAGCCGGAACATCGTCCAACAACGAGGTCCTCCACGTGCACGAACGGGGCCTGCGCGTCGGGCTCTGGAATTTTGCCGTCATCGTCTCCGTCAATCTGACCCCGATCATCAGCGGATATATCATTCCGGGTTTGTCCTGGCGCTGGGGCTTCTGGCTGGAGGTCATTCTTTTTGGTCATGGCTTAAACAGAAATATTATCCAAGTTTGGCAAGAGTCCAGGTTCGGCGGTATATTGTTCTTTATTCTAGAATGTACACAACTGGAAACAAGTAAGCATTTTCCTAATCCTTGATTAGAAAGAAGGCTTCCTGGTATTGCCGGAGTACAGCCTGGCTCCAGAAAGCCTAAAAACGCCAAAACCGGTATTGTTGAGTCTAGCCGGGATTTTGAAATATAATGCTTCGTTCGGCAAAACATCCCGTGCTCCATAGATGCTGATGCGTCTCAGCCGAAGACCGGCTGGTGGCGTAGGTCATCTGTGACGCAAGGTCAACGACGCAACCTCGCATGGCCTAGTACAAATAGTACGTCAAACCTCTTGAAAGTCCATGCCGAGTGTGCTTATTCCGAATTCAGAAGAGGACGGAGCGTTCCAATATGCAGCCATTATCAACGATTGATCTTCTCTCAACTGAGCTGTTTCAGCTCCACTACAAGAATACCTCACGGAGAGAACGTCTAGAGCTTTCTTACCTGCGAGCCAGGGCCATTGCCAAACATTGGGGTCAGTCAAACCCATACTTAAGCTTCCAGGCTAATGTGGTCTAGCATTGACCTTGGACGACGTCATTCGTGTTTCACCAAAGTCCCAGCGTGCTCACATGGATGGTATCATCGTACGGGACCCGGTCGCGCACATCAATCTGAGCATTCAGTATAACCTTGTCGTGGGCACTCTCGCCACCTATGTGAAGAAGAGACCGGATCTGGATCCTCTTATCAGGGAGTTTCTTGAGTTCGATATATGGTAAGCCTTGGTTAAGGATTGTGTAGACTCTTGCTCATATGTCTTGTCTGCAGTGGGGCTTTCATGCTGAACGAAGTTGGTCATGGGTGTGACGCAAGGAATCTGGAGACTACTGCCACATGGGAGTCGGATGGCGGGTTCATCTTGAACACCCCGAACCGGAACGCGGCCAAGTATGTGAACCATGGCCAACGGAACATGAAAATACTGAGAAAAAAAGGTTCATGCCACCATCCATGCCGATGGCGGGAATTCCCCGAGTTGCATTGGTCATGGCACGCCTTCTCGTCGAGGGAGAAGATCGAGGGATTCGACCTTTCGTGGTTCCCATCAATGACGGTTTTCGGATGTGCCAAGGTGTCAAGTCATGGCAAGTGACCATTGACTGCCTGCAGGCTGAATTGTTGTCTAATTTCTCTAGGCTGCTTCCGCCGATAGGCTGCGGCGAAATGCTTGACCATAGCCTGACGACCTTTGATCATGTGCGTCTAGAAGCAAGTGCTATGCTTGGAGACCTAGCCAAGCCTGGCAATCTGCGTGCTCAATTCCTGTTCGCCATTGGCCAACTCCGGCTTGGATCTCTCGCATTGAGCCTGTGGACTATCCCTTTCCTGAAATGTGCGGCGTTTACTGCGGGAAAGTACAGTCAACAGCGAACAGTCCAGGAGGGTGTTCATAGGGAAAGAGTCCCGATTCTCAGCTTCAGGACTCAGCAACTGCCGATCGCGCGTGCCTTGGCCCACGTTGCCGTCATGGAGCCGCTAGTGGAGTGGGTAGTGTCCCAGCAGAACAATTCATCCCTCAGCGTCATGTCTAGGCATGCACTGAGCGCGGCGCTCAAGTCCTTGTTCGTGTATAATGGACAGGAAAGCCTCAGTGCCTTAGTCGAGAGAAGTGGGGCGCAGGGAATGTTTCCTGAGAACCAGATGGCAAACGTAGAGGTGTGCTGTTCTAACTGCTCAATTGCTCAGGCCGTTCTACTGACATACGACAGTCTCTGACACGATGTACGAGCATCGCAGAAGGGGAGCTCCTAGTTCTTTGCATCCGTAAGTCATTTGTGACCTATAGAACCACTGGGTACGAACCCCTCTGAGCTATTATTAGGCCATGCCACAGAGATATTGCTCGAACGTTGTGAGATCCCCGAAGCAGAAAACCCCACGTCGTTGTTGGCCAAACATGAGAGCGGTATCATAGCTGAATTACGGGAGCTTCTCAAAACCTTTGAGAGTCATCGAAGCACCGAGTATAATAAGTTCATCTTGCCTCGATGTCGGCCAGTGATGCTGGCGATCGGACAGCGCATGGCTTTTGAGATTGCTGCCAAGCGGGGGGTGGACGGTGACTTGTTGGCCATGTATGAGTCGGAGGCGGTGAGAAGTGATCCTAGCTGGTACGTGGAGTGTTTGGGGCTGAGCAGAGCTGCCCAGTATGAGATGGAGAGTACAGTATGCGATGCTGTCATGTCAAAACTTAATAGGCATCTCGATGATCTCGGCATTGAGCCGTACTGCACGGCTCCGATGTTGTCTGGCGCCAAGTGGGACGACTTCATCAACGTCGCTCGCACATTCACTGCGAGGGCAGACGGGAGGGCAGCAGTCTTCCACCCGAGGCTTTAGGAGTGGGAGCCGTTGTAGAGTACAGAGAAAAGTGATTTCTCAGTCAATCTAGTATGAAAATGACACGGCTGTTGTATTGTTGTTGTTGTTGTTGTCGATAGAACGGAGTAACTACGGAAAGGCGGAGCGAAAAAGGGAAGGCTTGGCGGACCGGACGGGGCGACGGCCTGACAGCCTGACAGCCTGAGGATCGTGACCCACGTATGACGTTGATGGCTGGGCCCCGACCGTTGGTTGCGCTCTCTCTCCAACTCTCATACTTATTCGCCCTTCGCTGTTCCTGATTCCTTTTCTCCAACCAGCCCGTCTCCAAAGCTGCCTGCTGCAATCTAGCTTGAACCACATCCAATACTTCCATCCATTCCATTAGACATCGCCCACGATGAGCGTCGGATCCTTCTCCTCTCCCGTCAACTTCACACTCCCCTCCTCCAGCTCGGGGTCTTCGATTAGGAAACCCATCAAGACAGTATCCAAGCCTTGCTTCGGATGTGATTGCGGTGACGAAGAATGCGACTGCTGTATCTGCACTGTGATGTGGTATGTTACTTTCACCCAGAGCATCCCGACTGGAATAGACAACTAACAGACATACATAGAACTAGCGTTTACGCTTATCCCGCTATTTGCACAGGCACGATATTGCTGCGCCACGAATACTCCTAGCACAGCGACCGACCTCCTTCCAACGAATAACAACACAACTGTCTGTCCGGTGGCGTATTCTCGGGTGTATGGGTGACAGATTAACACTCCGATGACATGATGCTTCTTTCCCTGTCTTGATATCCCTCCATTGATTGCTCAACATAGCGTATAACTGTTTTCGTTTCCGAATCAAAGTCTTCTTTTTCTCCATGGTTCCAGTCTCGTTCTCTTCTGTAATGAAGCCACGGCCCAGCAGTGCTCATTTTCACTAACAAGACAGAACGGGTCGAGCCACCACCTTATTGGGCGTCGAAGTAAATGTTAACAGATACTCATGCCATTTTCTGGGTACGATAGATTTGTGCGGGGCTCTGTGATGGGCAAGATGCCGAAGGAGGTGGGTTCAGCTCCGATCTATTAACATCCATCTCATTTGACAGGGCCAGACATCTGGGGCCTGTGCGAGAGCTCCAATCATGTTCACGAGGTTTATCAATAATCGCAAGGTCTGTGTTTACCAGCCTTTCGAATTTCCCAACGCCGGTGAGCTCAGCACTGCCACAGCACGATGGTCGGCATTTCACGGCAGGAATCGTTCACAACCACAAACGCTGGGGCCTAGAGATGGTAACACTCCAGGGTCATTGATTGCAATCGGGTTGAAGGTCGGAAGTAACCTCATGGCTTATGCGCCTCAAAGTTAAGCCACACATAAGCGCTTGGGGGTCAAGTATGGCGAGCTACGCGAAGCTAACGGTAGACTAAGCGGGCCAAGGCACTATCACCCCTTGCTAGCTTTGTATTTCGAGGGCAGCCAGTCCCTATCACGATGTAAGTTATTTGGGGAGAGTCATGTACCGACAGGGGTACAGCCTCACACGCTACACTTCCGTTACCCCTCACAGCTGAAGTCGGCTTTCAGGATGGTTGAAGCCGAGCGAAGGTGCTATATAAGCGACAACATGGCTATACTTTGAACCAGTATCATCATCTCTCGCCAATCTTCGAGCCCCAGCATTCAGCAATATCGACTTGGCTCCCTTTTATTGTTGCCCACGTAAGGGATCATTTCGGGGATAAGAGCCCTGTCCAGGATGAACTAGGATATTCTTGCTCGCCATCAGAGACTCAGGCTGATCTGGCCGGCAACACCTCTCGAGGGTCATTCGACGAACAACAAGAAGCGTTTCCAGCTGCAACTCCGACACGCAGGGGTCATTCAAACCCGATCAACGATCAAACATGGCAGAACTGGGCGAAACATAAGACAGGTCGTTCTTACAGAGCGCCTGAAATACCAAAAGAGCCGCATGGCTCTGCCTATCAGAATCAGGAGCCCTATGAACTGCCATCCCCGAATGGTAGCATCAGTGAGGAGGGAGGAACCCTAGTGCCCTCGGCGTCAGAGTACGACTTCGACGCAGAGGAAGCCGATGTGATACAAGTGAAGCATCTCGATCAGGACGATATGATCAAGAAAATGATCGAAGCACTAGGCAAAAAGTGTGATGATCAGCCAGGATATGTGTACACGTTCTATGATCCAGAATCTGAACCTAGCAATCCGTCTGTGAAGGTCGGCCATACATTGAATCCCAAAGTACGAGAAGACCAACACAAAACAAATTGCAAGCGCGAAAACTGGGAACTGAAATATGGCGACTCCTTCAGAGGGTACAAATGCGTGGAGAGACTGGTTTTGATCGAGCTACACAACCGGCGATCTAGTGATGTCTGCAACTGCGGGACAAGGCACAGAGAGTACTTCGATGTTGACATAGCTCATGCGTCTGGGCTCATCAAATCTTGGCAAATCTGGCTGCGAACGTATGAGCCATATACCCGTGGTGGGATATTGAAGACTGTCTGGCAAGACCGACTGGACTTATTTCAAAGCCAGTCTTCTAAGTTTTTCTTGTGCGAAACGTGCAAGGTCAACCGGACTTCCACATCAGACCCGAAGGCAAAAGGTTGTTGCATTCGAGCAGGATGGGAAGCATGGACTAACCCAGCGCGGGCCAGGTACAGATACCAAGCCTTCCTTGCTCTAATCAAAGACACTCGCACGTCTCACTCTTTGACAAGGCCCGCCAGGTTCCTTTTAATGATCATATGGGCGAGGCTTCTCATTTCCGCCATATTTTATGGCGGTTTACCCATCCCAACATCTTCGGACGCAATATCCGTGGTGCATGCAGCATTTTTGTCGCTTGGAGTAGTCTTTGACCTTGTCATCCCTGCTATCTTGTTCCTTTGGGTATCATTTGCGCCGAACCGCGAGATAGCCCGGATTGAAGACACTGAAGCATCCGAGTCCCCTCGCAAAGAGAGTAAAGCCGGAGCGAATTCAGTCAAGGAGTCATGCACTACTCCGACCAAGTGTACTAGGAAGAAAGCTGCGGAGAAAACACCGCCATCGACTCCAAAAAGAATCGATACAAAGACACCCAAGTCTTCTCCAGCCCCTCAAGAAGATATGGAACTCAGAGCGAGGCCACGTCATGAGCCGTCTGCTACTCCGATCAAGTCTCCTAAGACCAAAGGTGTTGGCAAAAGATCGAGAAAGGTATTGGATAGTCCTCCGACGACTGGGAACGAGAAACCAGCCACCAATGTCAGTAGTAACATGACACCTCCGCACCACTCGGGAACAACTTGGCCTATAGATACCTCGACTCCCCCTGCACTTGGCAAGATACTTGAGCGCTCATTTGACTCCAATCAGGCCAGGTAGAGGGCAAGGTATGGGCAGCACCATACTCTATCGTTTTGTGAATGCCGTTCCATGGACACTTAACTCACTATACCTATAAGCTTGCTTGTGAAGGTTCCGCTTGATGATCTATGGTCTTCTATTGTTTTCTGTTTTTGAGGTGTATTGATCTGCAGCTGTTTGGGATGACTTTTCCGCGGTTAGTCTTGGCATGACTCTTTCTCGGCTTGTCTCCGCACACTCATTATTCTCATGTTCGATAAGAGGGTCCGACCCTCAGGGTCGAGACCCTCGCCTTTCTTCATTAGCGTTCTTATTGATTAGCGAGTGGAATAGACTCGGGTATACCTCGGCGTGACTCACGTTTATCCATCCCTAAGTACGAGCTCCATGGCTTCAACCACCAGCAACTTCTCAGTCTCCAGCCAACACCCTTCAGTATACGTACTGCAAAAGCAAGCACCATGACCGTCGCACCCACAACTGTATCCTCCAGCCTAGCTTTGATCGGCAACACGCCGGTGGTCCGCCTCCGCAAAGTCGTCCCCAATAACCATGCCGACGTCTACCTCAAAGTCGAAACCGGCAATCCCACCGGTTCGCACAAAGACCGAATGGCGCGATCGATGATTGAAGAAGCCGAGCGACGCGGAGACCTCCGACCCGGAATGACCGTGGTCGAAGCCACCGGTGGGAGCACCGGGTCCGCGCTCGCCTTCATCTGCGGCGTCAAGGGCTACAAGTTCCTCGTGGTCTCGTCCGACGCTTTCGCCACCGAAAAGATCCGGACGATGCGTGCCCTGGGGGCGGAGGTCGAGCTCATCCACAGTCCCTCAGGCCAGATCACGCCCGATCTGGTCCCGTCCATGATGCGACGCGCACAAGAGATCGTCGACACCGGCGACAACTACTTCTACACGAATCAGGCCACCAACCACGACGCGCTGATCGGCTACGAGGGCATCGGCAGGGAATTACTGCAGCAGTTTCCCGACGGGATCGATGCCTTCTGCGGCGCTGTGGGCGGTGCGGGCATGGCGATGGCTGTCTCCAGGGTCTTGAAGGCCCAATGGCCCCAGACGCGCGTGGTAGTGCTTGAGCCGGCGTCTTCCCCTGTCATCACTGAAGGTCGCGCGGGGACGCACCAGGTCGATGGGATTGGGCTCGGGTACATGCCCGCACACTTGGATCGGGAGCTCTATGATGAGGCGCGCGGCATACCGGAGGAAGACGCCCGTGAGATGTGTCGGCGACTTGCGAGAGAAGAGGGTTTGTTGGTTGGAACGTCGACGGGGTTGAATGTTGTCGCTGCGATTGCTCTGGCGAAAGAGCTGGGGCCGGGAAAGACGGTTGTCACGGTCGCTTGTGATTCTGGGTTTAAGTGCATGAGTGGCAGTCTTTTCGCCGACGATTAGACTTTGAATGGCCTCAAATAGACTTGTATTGAAAGACTGTCTCGAAGGTCTGAAGATTTGATGATTAATGAAAATGCTGGCGTGGGCCGGGGGTTGGTGGAATTAGCGGTGCCATCGTGGTTTGTTGGGCTGTTCGTTTACTTTTCTCTTTCTTTAGCCTGCTACCTTTCGCCTTGGTAATTATTCAAGTAATTTTGAGAAGGTTCCGTATGGCATTGAGTGCATTTCATATACATTGGGGTCTTTCAATGCAATGGTGAAGATATTCAAGGGAAGTCGGAAATAGAATGGCCGAGCTCCAAGTCGCGGTCCGCTTACAAAGCACACAAGGCAGCAAGAACTTGCCACGAGGAGATTTGTCAGCGGCATCGGAAGACCGGGTTTCTTCATCCGATCTTCTGTGGTTGTGCAACCTTTTCTTTCGGCATATCAGACCCTTATAGATCGTTACAACCTCGATAGACTTCTTCAAGCATTTATACCCCCATCTAAATGTTTCCCTCGCCGTCCTCGGCAGAGAAGTCTGACGAGGAGATCCGGAGGCCCAGGAAACGTATTGCGAGGGCGTGCGACTCGTGCTTCAAAAGAAAGGTCTGCCTCGCCACCTGGACTGTACTTCTTCTTTCTGGTCTCTGACGTCCTGTAGATCAAATGTGATGGCGCGCAGCCGCAATGTAACTGGTGTAGTCATCATGACATTCCGTGCACGTTCGAGAGGGTGACCGTGAGGAAGCGGAAGATCGCTAAAACTGTAAGGGGGTATGCATGGCCACCGAATCCAGAAGACACTCATTTGCTTGACCCGGGGGAAATCTAATCGACCGTAGGAATGCTAGTCCAGGAGATTCATCAGATCTAGCCGAGCGAATTGAGCGGATAGAGAAGCTCTTGGGCAGCAAGTTGATGAATGAACCGGGTTCGTCCAAATTGAGCATAGCCTCTTCGGCTTCGCTGACTGATGTCAAGCAGCCCCGGCCGGAAGAGACGACAATGTGCGGATTCGTGCACCAAGCAGTGTTCCAGACGTATCCTCCGAGGCTTCTCCCGCGCCTTACAAGCAGAGCTCGGGCTCGTCGTCGGTGGCTCTGCACTTTGCAGGGCGCGAGCTCGGTGTGTTCAACCTGTTCACCGGTATTCCTTTATTGCTACCAGAGGGAAGGCAATGGGTTCAAGCGAGGACGGGCCAGAATGTCTCATTCAGCAGGCTAGTCAGTTCTGTCAGGACTCCGTGGGAACGACAGAGGGCGTTCAACTACGATGCTCTGATGATGAACTCCACCACAGAGAACGCATTTGAGCTCCCAGAACGGCACATCGTCGAGAGCTACTATAACATGTTTTGCTCGACATTGATGCGGCTGATCTTCCCGGTTTTGGATCCGGTCTTGTACAGAGAGACCATCAACGCAGCATACGAGCAGCCACATGGCCGGGTCCCATATGAGAGGGCAAGCGTTCGAGCCTCCATCTTTGCGTTCGTGGCTTTTGCAAGTCTCATACCCACCCCTGAGTTTGAACTACACAGAGGGTTGGTTCCGGTGGATAACGAGGCTTATATTGTCAAGGCGCAGTATCTCGTGCCTCAGATCTTGCAAGAAACAAGTTCCCTGGAAGGACTGCAAGTGATTACAATGCTGGTAAGTCTACGCCTTTCGGATTGTACATCCTGCCTTACCTATCAACAAAAGCATTTGATGCCATCAATGGGTCTCTTGCTGGTCATTGCTGCTCACACAGGGGATGATGCTTGCATATCGTTTGCTAACCCCACATAGGCAGTGTACGAGCTTGTGACCGGAAACCTACAATCCGCAAACTACTACGGCGGGCTAGCCGCTCGCATGATCTTCATCCTTGGAGGTCACACGGCGTTCTGCTATTCGCCCGAATACCTGGCGTCGCTTCCCGACGAGACCAGCGTGCGCACCCAGCAGCACATCCGGCGCATCTTCTGGCTCTGTTACACGTTCGAGAAGGACGTCTCCCTGCGCACGGGGCAGCCGCAGACCTTCAGCGACGACAACTGCGACCTGACCTTACCCCCCAACTACATGGACACCCTACACGCGCACGGCGCGGACTGCATGCTGCCCACCCGCAAGACGGACGAGGACCCGCTCTACCCGGTGGACATCCGGCTTAGTATCATTAAGTCGCGGGCGTACAGCGCGCTGTACTCGTTCCGGGCGCTGAAGAAGACCGATGCGGAGCTTCTGAAAGATATCCGCGAGCTCGACGACGACCTCGAGCGCTGGCGGCTCTCGATCCCGCAGCAGTGGCGCCCCACGCTCTCCTTCTCCCAGGAGACCCCGGACCCAGACGCCAACATGCACAAGGTGATGCTGCGGCTGAACTACCACCTGTGCATGACCATCATCCACCAGGCCAGCAGCCGCTGCCAGTCCTGGACGAAGGACCAGTTCGGGATCATGGACGGCGTGAATTCCAGCCTGGCCCTCTCGGTCGAAGCGAGCCGCTCCACCTTGCTGTATCTCCAGGCGTCTGAGCACGTTCTGGTGGCGGGCATATTCTGGTTAGTCTCATCCCTTCCTCCCCCCACCCAACCAGCCCACTTGGTATTTCTCCCTCTCCTTCGCTTGTTCCCGTTTCAACCAGCACACAAATGAAATAGCATCCTCTAACCCCCGCAAACAGGACCCTCATCTTCTACCCCATGTCCGCCCTCCTCGCGATCTTCTGCAACATCCTGCAGAACCCCACCGACCCGCAGGCCACCAAGGACCTGGGCCTCCTCAAGACGGCCAAGGGCATGATGGAGCGGATCTTCCTGCGCCAGCCCGCCTCGGTCAACGAGATCGTGCACATCAAGATGGTCGCCGACTTCGTGACGGAGCTGTATCGACTGGCTAGCTGCGCGATCGAGAAGGCCTGGAATGAGCGGGCTGCTGCGTAGTCTCCCTCTATTCTTTTCTTCTTCTTTGCTTGATAATTCTTGATTTTCTTGTTAGAGGGGTCTGGCGTGAGGCGCTGGATTGCGCGGGTCGGGATTGTCTTTGTTGAGTTACTTCAAAAGGGTCGTTGCGCTGGAGTCTACTGCCTAGAAGGTGCTTGTACAGACCTGGCATATATAGAGGACGGAGAGACTTATAGATCTGGGTGATTCCAGCCGTATAACGGGAGATGTGGGGAGGGCACATACAGCCAGACGCACGCGAGCTTAGATCATTCATGCTTCGATGAGGGCATTGACATGAGCAATGATCGAGACTACGCTACTACACACATATAAATAGCGGCAAGAAACCGATTACAGAATACAAAAGGAGACAGGATCTGATAAAAAAAGATTTCATATTCATTTGAGCTATTCATCATATACTGTAGCAAGGGATCCTGGAAACTGGGGTAAGTCAGCAATGCAATTCAAAATCACTTGAATGACAGTAATGGCTGAAATGCAGGCAAGACAAGCTTTGAGAGCTTGGTTTCAGAAGAATGCGAATGAAGGATGCGTAATTGTAATCAAAAAGTACAAAAGTACTCTCAGATGGGGTTGAAACATAAATAAACGCAAATCATCATAGTAGGATTGAGGATGTGGGAGGGTGTTCTGGTGGAGCTTACCATTAGTACAGTAGACAAAATCGAGATGCGATGCTGAAAGAGTTCATTGAATTGCATTGCTGAGGTAGGCCATCATAACGCCTTGACCAAGGAGGTATCATGAAAGATCACGGCGGGAGGAAAAATGAGTAGAAATTTAAAGGCGCGGGATTAGTGCGACACGTGATCGCACAAGGAACAATGACGGCCCGGAATGGATGTGGATGGCTCCGCGCAGCGCAGCGCGAGGTGCCATGTCGCGGTCGGCCGGCACGACCTGGAGATCTCGGTGTAGACTCGATGACTTTACCAATAGTCATGAGTCATGATCGATTTGCCCAATTTCTCCCCCTATTGGAGCTGATCTGGGACTGAATCGCGCTTTTGTAGTACAGCTGAGCAGCTAGACTCGGCAGCACTAAGCTGCGGGACGTAGGATGCCGGGGGAGAAAAAGCGATCTTGTAGGAAAAGCTCAACTATTGATCTTCTCGTCCAACAGATCCCAGACCAGTTTTGCGTCCTCAAGGGCTTGCTCGTCCGTGGCCAGACTTTGTTTGCTATCCTTGTCGGCCTGCGCTGACGCTTGCGCAGCTTGGCCGTCAGCCTCGAGCCGCTCCAGAACTCCCGTGATTTCAGCCTTGAGGTTGTCCATTTCTTCAACCTCCTGCTTCGTTCGGTTCAATTGTTCCTCCATCATCATGATCAGCGACTCGCGAGCCTGGTGCGGCCGGTAGAGATTCAGGAGGTGGTGGGCGTTGATGAACAGATTGCGCAGGTCTTCCACCTTGGCCTCGAACTGTTCCGGAGCGACCGAGAGAATGCCGACGAATTCTAGGAAGTTCAATAGGAGGGACTTGCTGATTTTGAGTAGATAGTATGCGTGGTTCAATGGCAGGGTCGGTTGGGATGGTTCTTGTTCATCGGTCTCGGCAGGCGGGGTCGAGGGATAGAGCTGTGTGATTCCTTGTTCTTGGAGCGATGGTAAAGCGGTTGACAACTAGACGAGAATATGAGTAGCGGGCCTATGATGTGCGGGGAGGTACGAGGACTGACGCTTTGAAGCTCCCCGAAAACGCTATAATGTCCGGACGTCGGGATTGCTGGTGGTACGAGACATCGTAGCTCAGGTGGAAGGTCCAGTTCGCGGAGCTCAGCTGGCGTCCATTTCTTCTTCCGCGGCTTGCCATCCTCGCCTTTGGAAGCTTCTTTCTTGATTTGTTCCAATCGCTTGATGTTATCGGGGGTGAAGTGTTTCCATAATGGCGGGGGCGGAGCGAAGGCCGTCGTAAGAGTTCGTGGTTGCCCTGCTTCGGCCATTCTTTATGTGGAAGTTTCCGATTGCAGGGACAGTTGCCAAAGGATCGGTTGATTCGGCGGATTGCGTCTGGACTCAGATGAAGCGGAAGAGTCAAGTTGGATTGAGGCGGCGGCAATGCGGAGACTGGGCGGAGTTGGTCCGTGCTCAGAAGCCGGCCAGCGCGGCCACTTTCCATCTCCGCTTCGCTGATCTTCCTCTTGGTTTAATTTCAATTCATCAACACCCACCCTCTTCGGCGCTGACGATTGCCGGCCTTGCAAGGCCTTTTTCCTACCTGATAGAGTGCTTGAAATATGCCTCGCAATGGCTTTGCTGCTGGTACAGCATCCCCCCTTACCCACCAGAGCGAAATAACCGGCACGATGTCTCGTCTTTATCAGCGATCGTACCCCGTGCTGGACACTATCGCGCTGGCGTGTATTGTCGGTTTTTGGATATTGGTAGGCACACGCTTTGCCCCGGTGACTATCTTGTTGTGAAGGCTAACTTTATTGCACATATGTAGATACAACTATTTGTTACCCCCTTCCACCGCATGTTCTCCTTGGACAACAAGGCAATCCAATATCCCTTCGCCGTCGTCGAGAGAGTTCCAGTCGGTAAGGTCTCCCATACTCCCAAATGATAGATATGCTCGTGTGCTCACTACTGGCCTCCAGTCTGGTCCATTGTGTACGCCGGTGTCATTCCTTTCCTGATCCTCCTCGTTTGGGCTGCGACGTTTCGATCCTCCCCTCACAAAGTTCAAGTCACCCTGCTGGGCTTCTTGATCGCTGTCATGTTGACATCACTCATCACCGATATAATCAAGAACTCTGTTGGTCGACCGCGGCCGGATTTGATTTCGCGCTGCCTTCCCAAGAAGGGAACCCCGGCTGAGTCGTTGGTCGCATGGACTGTGTGCACGCAGTCAAGTGAACACATCCTTCAAGAAGGGTGGAGGAGTTTCCCCAGCGGACACAGCAGCTTCTCATTTGCTGGATTGGGCTATTTGACACTGTAAGCTTCTACTTTCCATTATATAACGAAAGGCTGCTTACCACTGTCGGATCATAGGTTCCTGTGCGGCCAGATGCGCATTTTCCGACCCCGGACCGACCTATGCCGTTGTCTGGTGGCATTCGTACCGCTATTGTGCGCGCTTATGATCGCAATCTCCCGCTTGGACGACTACCGTCATGACGTCTACGATGTTACGTGCGGCTCAATCCTTGGCTTCTTTGTGGGCCAATTCTCGTACCGCCGCTATTTCCCACCCCTGCGCTCAGTCACATGCGACGAGCCTTACGGAAGGGAAGAGATCTCAGGCTCTGACGGCTTTTCCAAAATTGCGGATGATGAAGAGCAGCAGATAGGATCAGCCTCGCGCCAATGGGAGGCTCGGGAGGAGTCCTATGCACTTGCCGAGGCGACGTCGCCTCGTGGTCGGTAGACATACTCTTTCTACTTATTTTTTCGTTGTATTCTGTGATACCCTAGAGCTATGTGGGGGCGGTACATGGTGATTGTTTGCTTTTTGCTACTCTGATCCTGTCTACCAGTGATTTGTATCTTGCATGTTTGGATAAATCCTATTCCTGGTATTATATACATTTTGGAATTTTCTCTTCTCTCCTTGCCCGCACTATAACTTGGATATATCCCTATATCTCACATTCGTCCATTCTTTCACATCATGGAAATCCATGACTTTGTTGGGACCCCCAAATCTGCCCAGCGTGTCATTCCAATCTCTGTTAGAGGCAATCTCTGGACTCCACCGAATCAGCTCGTGGACCTTCGCCGGGACCTTATCTTCCATAGCGTCGACGATCAAGCTTCCAATGGATGGCAGATATTTGTAACCTATTGTCATGATGATAGTCAGCACTTGCACGCCTTCCCGGGATTTGCAATTCAGAGAACCTACCTCTGCCTGAAGCGCCGCAACCCAGAATGAGCGACTTGTGTTGTGGGTGACGATCAATGATAAACTCGCGATTGGCAGTATCGGCACACCAGCAGATGCGCGCAAAGCTGAACGGGCGATTTGCAAGTTGAGGTACCGTTTCCGCAAGAAGCGCCCGTACTCGCTTTTCGGACTCCAGAGGCACTTGTGTCATCTCAAAGGGCAGGCTCTGCAACTTGCCCTCCGGGGATTGGATCATGTTGGTGTAGCCAGGATGCTCGTCGCAGATCTTGATCTCTCCCTTCTCCTCATCCGGCTCGAAGAAGAATCCTTTCTCGATGTTGAAGATAACGGGCATGTTCTTGTAGAGCGGACGCTCCTCAGGCGTCAGCGCGATATGAACAAGCGTCCAAGCGGTCGGACGCAGTTGATCCTTAAAGTCCAGGAATTGCCCTGCGTTTGCACCCGCGCAGAGGATCGTTTGGTCCGCCCGCCAGATCTTGCCGTCGGCCGTGACGGCGCCCTTGACGTCGTTGTTCTCGAAGATCAGCGTGATCACCTTGCCGGCCGGGTTTCCAGTCACGAATCTCACACCCAGTCTCTGGGCTTCTCTTGCAGCAGCCACGAGGGCATTGCGGGCATGGGCCCAGCCGGCGCCAGAACGGAGGAAAAATCCCTTCCAACCTGGGAAACCGCCCTTGAGCACCTCGGGTGCGAGGCTCTGAAACTGCTCTGGTTGAGTCATTTCGACGAGGTTCGGATCTGCCTCGGGCCTGACCTTGACACCCAGGCGGCTCAGTCCAGCTGGCGTGCAAGCCGACATCAGCAGGCCCGTGTCGTGGTAGTATGGCTTGAAGAGGGGGTCGTTCAGCCACCCTTGGAAGGCTTGCTCGCCGAGCATCTCGTTCACCTCGATTTCATCCTTTCTATTGCTATATTGCCCGGAAGAAATGACCTTATTGACATCGTTTCCAGCCGAGATGGCAGACGGGACGGGGTAGGGGTCTAGGACTGTGACATTCTTGTACCCTCTGCGAGCGAGATGAAGGGCGGTGGAACAGCCCCAGGTGCCTGCTCCAACAATCAAGATGGAGGAGTCTTTCGTGACCATCCTGGCGTGCGGTGTGATGGCCTCGGATGCAGTATGTGACGGGATCAGAAGGTGAATGTGGCGAGGTCTGTATGGAGAAGGAAAGCTGGCTCCTGCGTTGTCGCTCTCTCAAGTGAAGATGGATGTGATAAGGCCAGACTCGTCTACTGTCAGATTGACTACTCTTATAAGGACACAAGACGCCAAGTCGCTGGGATCATGAGATGTTGCCATTTTCTGGGTGATCGATAGCCAGGAAGGTCCACGCGATGCTTATCGATAAGAGCGGACATGCCTCCAAGTCTCCAACACAGCATAATTTACCTAAGGTTCCCCGCATTGGACTGTGCAGCGATACGATACGATAAAAGCTTCCTTCCCTGGATTCTGTCCGGCTGCAGCTCCGATGGGCGGGGCCGCTCCTAATCGCCGACCTCGGCCCAGCGAGAAGGGCTTAGGCTTGCCCCTGGTACGACAGAGCATCACTGCGACCAAAACAAACGCTTCTTCTTGTCTGGGGCGATGGTGTCAATTGTCAAGTGCATGAGGTAAAATGGTTTCTCGGGGCTAGACCAACATTTGCTATCATACGAGCTTGGTCGCCACAGGCGTTGATATGTGTAAAGACCATTGCATCCTACAAGATATACTCGGGATTTATCAGTGCCGCTCGCTGTCATTCGCCCGCTTGGACCTTACCTACTTTTCAAATCTTGTCGCGTGGCTTGAGGATTACTTCCAGGTTCATGGCGCCTCTCAATTTGCTTACCCCGTTTTCGACTCCGCATTATGGCAGTTCAACCCGTTGAGATCGGCCTCAGCCGCTTCTTCTATCAGGACAAGCCTCTAATCTACTGATTTCCCTACCGTCTGGTTGCATCTTTTAGTGCATGGTTTAATGGCTTATCTATTCCTTCAGTATGGAATTCTACCGGTCAGTCGCTCAAGGCGCGATGTCTGTCGCCGCTGGCTACAAAAGCCGGCATGGGAATGCCAGATGATTCAGTACCCTCCGGAGAATAATCTTCGTACATTTTCTGCCCTCACCTGCTCTTCCAGGCGATAAACATCTCCCACTTCGCCTGGCATACTTGCTCTCATGACACAGATTCAGTCAGAGACACTGCATTGCGCAGATGTCGAGAACTATGCTGCGGATCCAGTCCCCTCTGGCGATGGCATCTCCAAAAAGCCCTTGAATAGCGCCGATGCCTTGGAGATCGCCATCGGTGAGAGTAGTACCGTTGAATACACCATTGACTCCGACAACTCCCCATACCTGGAAGTACGGGCCAACGTGCCAAACACCGACGACCCCATACTCCCGTCAACACGTTTCGAATGTGGTTCCTTGGCATTGTTTTCACTCTGGTAGGTCCTGCCCCTCGCCGAGATCTACCTTGCATACTGACTGCCATCCAAGATCGGCACGGGTGTGAACCAGTTCTTCTCCATGCGATATCCGAGCGTGACCATCACCTCGCTCGTGGCGCAGCTTATCAGTTATCCTATGGGTTGTGCCTTCGCGAAGGCTCTACCCATCATGAAGTACAAAATTGGGCGATGGGAACTGGATATCAACCCGGACCATCATTTCAACATCAAAGAACATGCGGTGATCACGATAATGTCGAATCTCAGTTTCAATCAATCATGGGTATGAAGTCTTTGGCTCTAGGCGGCCTGTACTTTGGGGTTACTGACGATAGCACTCAAACCAGGCCAGTGCCATCATTCAAGCACAGAAAGTGTACCTCAACATGTCGACTCCAGTCGGCTACCAGATCTTACTCTCTCTGACCATGCAATTGTTCGGGCTGGGCCTTGCTGGCCTGACCTACCGCTATATCGTTGAGCCACCGCAGATGGTATGTACTGCTGGGTGATCCGAGTAACTAACAGACCTGGCTAATACTATCATCAGATCTGGCCTTCAACACTTGCTAATGTTGCACTTTTCCAAACACTGCACAGTGGGGCTAATCCGATCGCCGACGGCTGGAAGATCTCTCGATACAGGT